CAGAGTTACATTTTTTTGGTTCTTACCTGGTCTTGAATTAACTCTGTTTAACTTGTGATCACGAATAGAGGAAAATGGCAGCTGTAATCTGCACTTTAGCCTACACCAATGTTGAAATGATTTCATCTTTTTATCAACATTGCAGACATCATGAATTCAATAAAACGGGCGATGACACAATTCACAATTAGCACTTGAACAACCAGACACTGTAAAGTTCTTAGCACTATATTGTAAATTCAACGACAAACTACGCTCAAAGTGACAACTGTAAACAGAAGAGATTTATTTAGTTTCGTCACTGCTTGTTGTTAACTCGGTGAATGGAGGCTTTGCGGTTTCTTCGTTTCAAAGGCACAGAATTGATTTACCTGCTTGAGATACCTTCGTTTCATTTACCCATTGTATTGGCTCTGCAATGTCGTAAAAGGAACACGCTAAAATTACGGCTTTTCTTTCACGAACAAAGCAACACATTGTCAAGTGTATACATTATTAGCACGTTCGGTCGGGCATTCAAAAGAGGCAGTTGAATTGACGTTATTACTTCCGGAAAACGACCGGTTTCCTTTAAAATGCTTTAAGCTTAAAACTAGTTTCAAAACTCCCTCAAGGATATTATTTTCGAGCGAAAGATTTTTCATCTCCCAAAAGGGACTTCCAAGGAATTCACTTTTAATTTAGTGTTTGTTTGTCATCTCTTGAACTTCCATTTAAACTGAAAAACGACTCTGTTGTAAAAGGTTTGCATGACTCCTCTCTCTCTTTTTGTATTCGGCTCGAAAGAAGCGCTTAAAGAAGCCAATTTTCACTGCATATAAATCAGCGGTGAGTCTTTGACCTCACGTGTATTCAGTGCGGAGGTTTTGTTTCTTTTCAGTTTAGTCAACCTTCCATGACTCGGCATTTTTCTTTGGCAGCTATGCGCCAGGTGGAAAATACCATTGTTAAATTTGTCTTCTGTGAAATGAAGGTCCTGCCTTCTCCACTGTAACTGTAATAAACACCATTGAGGGCGGAGTGAAGCAACAAAGACGATACAATGCATGTCCGGCCTTTTAGATCCTTTGCCCGCCTTCTTTATGAATGTGTTCTACGTTCTTGTCTCTAAACGCAAAATATGAAATAATTGATGTTTCATTAAAAAGACAAAAACGTTTATGTAACAACTTTTCTGATGGCTGTGTACGCTTTCGATGCAAAACATTTCTTGTTGGAATTTTCTTTTAGCATCATTAATGAACTGTACTGATTCGGAGCTCTTGTTTAACCGAAGATTTTGCTCTGTGACAATCTATGAGGATCATTCTTCAATGCGTTTAGTTCCACTCAAAACACCTGAGCAAAGTTAAGTATCTGATCAATTTAGTTGTATACACAACATAAACATGTGTGATTTTTCTGCCAGAATTCTAAGCCATATTGTATTTGTGTTTTACATGATCATTGAGGCTTAAGATTTGTTACGCAATAATACTGAAAAGCACGCATGAATAAGTTTTTAGAGAACGATTTTAGTTTACATGTGTTACGCCATTTATTTCACACATACTCGCGAAGTTTCGTATTTACTTACTTACCTAGTCATCTAACCTTTCTGTCGATGTTGTGACATATACCCTTCATCTGACTTACCCTACTCACTCATTCGCTGCCTTAACCTGCTCATTTCCCCAAGTTAATTTCTTATTCTTTTATTCATTGAAAGACCTATTCAAATGAACTTTTTAGAAACGTTTTTTTTTCTGCGTACTTTCACCGATCTTTCCTCTAACTTTGCCCGGTTTGCACTTAAAATTGGAGTTCTTTCTGTATATTTTCTTTCCTCTGACCTTCGTTCTTTAAGTCAATTTTTAAGCCAGCTATTTCTGATTCAGTTTTATAAAGAACTTTTCTACCAAATCAATTCAGTCTTACAAACCTTTGTTCTCTTTTTGTCTTTAAATTCCCGCATCTTTTATCAACACCTTAATCCCGTTTTTCAGTCTTTAATACCTGCAACAACCCACGCCTTTCAAAAACCTATCTATTTTTGTCCCAACTATGCAAAGCTTTCGTTCGCCACATACTGCAATACTTCCTTGAGTCTCTCATCGAAAAGAAAGAAAACAATCAAAAGCTCGTTTCATGTATTGTATAATCTGCACAGGCGCTAGACTTTATTGTCAATGAGCCAAATCATGTTTGAGTTAAACCCTGGGAAAACGGCCATGTTAAGAACATTCAAATGTGCTCTTGGACCAAAAATGGAAAAATTTTACCCGTACTGTTGGTCCTGATTTAGGTATCTTGTTCGTTAAGTTCTGACAAATTACGGAGAGCTTCTGAAAAGAGAAATAGGCTTGCTCATAGAAGTGAAACAGAGACAAAATATAAAAAAGGGGGAAGACAACTGAAAAGTAATTCGGTTATTCGTCTGAGGGAATCCCATTTTACCCTTGTCAGAGAGAGCAGCGAACCATTCCCTGTGATGGGATGCATTTAAGAGAAATGACTCTTCTGACAGGTTCTGAAAGTCTATTCTTTTCGTTCTTCGTCGGCAGATAATTAGCAAGCGAAGTCGGCACAGCTTTGTCTACAAATATTACAATGTTATTGGTCAAATCACAGCAATGGAACGCAAATCTTCTTGCGTTTTTTGCACCAGACGTCTGTTGCCTTCACTTTCAGTCCGACGGTCAATATATTTCTCGACAATAGCTCGCATAGAATGAAAAAGTGATTAAAGAATAAAAAAAAAAAAAGACATTGGTGCTCAATGTTTTAAGTTCAGTGTTCCGACTTTGTCGCGCAATCAGTAGGAAAAATCTCTCCTGCTTATGTTCAACACTGAATCAAGCAAAGCAAATAGATTGTTTTGTTTTTCGTCCTGCAAAGGCCCCGGATAACAGTGATTTGCATACTCATTTCTTTCCCTCAATTTTTCTCAAGCTGTTTTCATACTGTGAATTTAACAGCGGTGCATTTATTTTTATTGGAACACCTACCTTCAAGCAGATCCGCGCACTCTACGATTGTTTACATCTTCCACAGCATTAGCTCGGTTCAAAAGTTCCGGTTTTGGCCACCGGCACACCAAGACGTCTTCATCTCTCAGACAAGTCTGGGTAAAATTGCCTTTTGCAAGAATATTTTTGCATTTTGGTCAAAGGTGACTTGAACATAAAAGCACAAGTGTGCTGGCGACGCCCTTACAGAGTTACATCTCGCGATAGTAGGGAGATCTTTATGGCTTCGCCTAAGGTGAGTAATCGATTTTAAAGTGGCAGCATTTACTTTAGAAGCCAGTATGTGGTAGGGGAATTGAATAGCAAAATAGTATAGTTTTACGATGTTCTATTTCAAGTACATGCTAGCAAAGCGTGGGCAGTGCTGTAAAAAAATCGTATTTTTGTCAAGCTTTGGCCTTGATTGTCCGCACGGGTGGGTACTGTTTCGGCAGTGTTTAATCGGCTGAAATGGTATTCAGATAAAAGTTTTGTAGACATTTACCGGACACAATAATTTCAGTGAGAATGGAGCTGTGAATTGCATTGTCATCTAACTCAAAAAAAAGTAGATTTTGATGATCTTAGAGCAATGAAACTACGTGAAGCGTGTTAAAACTCTTATTTCTTTGGTAGTAAACTTTATTGCTGATGAAAATCAGCTTTCAGTATTAAGGGCGCGTTAATTTTAGCAGAGAGCATATCAAAAGGAAGGAAGAGATAAAACCTGTCGTTTTCAAACCACGGCCAAAACCACGCGTGTAACTTGGGTTTGAGGTTAAGGGAGAAATGTCTGCTTATATTTCTACTTGTACGCCACGTGATGTTACAAAATTCTGTTCGCGTGCCTGTATCTACCATGATTACATTTAAATCCTTTTAAATTTCTTTAAATAATTTTCTTTGTATTTGATGGCAAAACTAAATTATTTCTATTTGTCTGCTTGCACTCCGGGACCCCTAGTTTAGCGTGCTTAATTAGCTTCTAAATAACAGTATTGATATAACATAAGGAGAGATGCACGAAACGGGCAGAACGTTTTTGCAATGTAATGTGAAAATTGTATGCAATGCAGCTGACAATTCAAAACCCGTAGAACAAGTAGCACTCGATCTCTGTCTTACCAAGCCGCCCGGTTTATATGATAGCCTTCAAGACTTCATTTAGTAGCTGGTGTGTGGGGTAACTCGACTATTGTTTTCCCTGGTTTATTTTTATTCTCTGAATGGCAATCACATTCAATGCTACATCCACGTAAGTTTGGTTACAAGCGGGACGGTGGAATTAATTCAGCACATGATATCTCGGGAACAAACAAACAAATAAATAAATAAATAAATATGTCAGTCGTACATGTTGACAGAGCCGCAGTGACGGAGGGCTCCGGAAGGAGGGGTCCAGGTTCGAGCCCGGATAGAACTGTGTTTGGGCAAGAATGCGAATTACCGGTGGTCTGGTATAATGGAGATCAAAATTGACATGAAATTTAAATTGAAAATCATTTCACTAAGGATCCCATGATGTTTTTTCTATACTATTGTAAATTTTTGCTCTCTGAAATCTATTTAATATCGTTAGTGGTTTATTATGGTTTTCTAAGTTAATGTTTTTGAATTCAAAATATGATAACATGTATTATTTAACAAATTGACGTCAGTTTTTCATGCGTCTGTCCTGTTACTGATCGTGAATTTCGTCATAACGTTGTCAAAGTAGTTGTGAATCCACGAGGCGACAGCCGAGTGGATCTGCACGTTATGACGAAATTCATTGTCAATAACAGAACAGACGCATGAAAAACTGACGTCAATTTGTTTTTCACAACAACAAATTGTCGACTTGTCCGCTCTCGTTCGTCGCGTCAACATCGCAAATATTATAAATTCATGCGTCTGTCCGCCTATCGACAATGAAAATTAGCCAATGAAGATTCGCATTCTGAGAAGTCGAATTCCAGTTTTGTGCTTCGTGCAAACCGGCAAGGTGATTATTTACAGTCACCTCTCTCTTAATGGACACCTCACCTGGTGTGGGTTCCTGCCAGACATATTTCACAGCTCTTACCATGTCGCCTTACATGTAAGAGATGTAACACAGGCTTTTTCAGTGATGACCTACATTTTTTTTCTCCACAGCTTACAAAAACCTTATTAATCGTTTGTGCAGTGGTGGTTCTTGCTCCATTCCCGTATGTGCTCGCCAGGCCCACTCAGGTGCAGGAGAAACGATGCGTTCCAACTAAAAGTCTACAAATCAATGATTCAACGTCACGCATTAGAATCAACTACCAGATCTTCAAAGTGGCATCAAAAACACCCTCTTACGTCCAGATTGTGCAGCTCTTTTGTAAGACGGGATATTTTTTGGCGCTTAATGTCACCGCAAAGAAGAATCGAATCATAGGAATCGTGAACCAATCAAGTGAAAGCAGTAAGTCACTGATCATTTTATCGTCCTCACCCAGCCCCTGACGGGGATGTAACATTATAGTGGTCATTTTGTTTCAGGCTTGGCACTTAAAGTAAGCATAACATGGCTAAAAATCTCAACTGGCAGGCGGCAGACCAGTTGACTATTTAGAAAGCATGAAAGAGTAGTTGAACTCGAGTATTTCCTTGCTTTGTAATCCATTCTTCAAACTTAATCCGTCCTTACTAAAATTTAACATATTCATTAATATAATTGTGCCATTTTTTTTCCAATTCAGCATTTTTCGAGTCCCAGTCCCTTGGAACAAGCATTGTGAGACTGCGGAATCTTGTCAGCGGACGGTTTCTGGCGATCAATGCGAAGGGACGGGTCGTTACTCAGGTTAGGACTTTATGTAAGATCTTGTGACTTGACGCAACGGTTTTTGTTCTGCGATGAGAGCACGTTGCGAGACAAGCTTCATGTGTAATTTTTACAGGACATTCCTAGGGGACAAAATTGTTGTGTGAAACATGCAGTTGTTGCTATGGTTGGAACTGATCCGATTTGTACAATCGTTGCAGCACAACAATTGCATTTTGTTGCAGGGTATTTAAGTATATTCGAACTGAAAAGCTTTCTATTTTATCTATTCTTGGATTTCCGCAAACATTTTTTTTTAATTGTGTTCAAACATCCAATAAAATTATTCAGGGCTTGTAGGCGAGTCTTCAACAATACGTGCACATGCTTAGTACCTGGGCTCCAAAGAGGATAATAAAAGACAATCCCTAGGGTAAATAAAGGGGAAATAAAACTTGGTGTTGTTGTTTCCGACAGGCAAAAGTTTCAGATGAGAGCATTTTCAAAACCATGTACGAGGAAAACTATTTCCACACCTTCACTTCGCATAAGTATTTCAAGAACCGGCGCCATGATTTGTTCCTTGGAATCAAACAGAACGGCCACAGCAAGTCGCCGAAGCTCTCTTCTCCTGGACAGATGTCTGTTCAATTTATTTTACTGCCTAACAACAACACTGAAGAGAAAGCTAGAATTATGGCATCCGCGAAGCAAAATCGCGTAAAACAAGGAAAACGAGAGATGTGGTGAAACTCTAGCGCGAACAAAATTGTAAAGTAGGAACATTTGTATTTCATAGAGCAGTTTTCAATTGAATGTCGTAAAACCAAAACCAAAGTGATCACTCTGACCAATCACAAAAGACACAGAAAATACAGAGAACCAATCAAAACTCAAAGTAAGTAGACATAGCTGTCATAAAGCGCGGGGAAAATGTGCGAGCGAATCACGATTGCTTCTGCTAGTCTTCTGGATTTACTTCTGATTGGATGAAAAAGTGGCGCGAGTTTTTTTAAGCCAATCGCGCAGCGTACTGATGCAAAACCAATGCAAACGCGAATTACTTTCGACTGTCAAGTGAAAACTGCTCAAAATAGGTTTTCAAAACTCCTCGGAAAATGTTCTCTTCAAGAAATAACGACGCCTCGCATCCGCGCAAATGAATTAGGCCGTGGAACATCGGTATATGTGTTCCGCGGTGGTCCGCAGCTTATTCATTGATATATCGTATTTCTCATAACATGCACAAAAAGGCAAACAGTTAGAAAAGTGGCTAAAGTTATCTGAATTGTAGTTAGCTCTTACTTTACTCTGCCCTTTACCGCTTTGTCGAAAATCTCTCAACCGTCGATGTTTTTTAACAGGGGATGACCTTCTCTCGTAGATCTTTTAAACTATATAAACTATAGGTAGGATATTTATCTCTTTTTCAATGTAAGCCTAACTCCTGTACATAACTTCAGTGGCTCTTTGTATCGCAGGCTAGAAGTTCAAGCAGTAAATTCAAACCCCGCTATAAAAACGCCTCCTCAGTTTTCTCAGGTAGTGGTTTAAGTGCTTACTTCGTGAATTTTGCCTTAACCCAATTACAGAAAGGAGGCGCGGTGACCTCATGGTTGGTGCGCTCGTCCCCGGATCGAGCGGTCCGGGTTCGAGCCCTGGCTGGGGACACTGTATTGTGTTCTTGGGCGAGACACTTAGTTCCCACAGTGCCTCTCTCCACCCAGGAGTATAAATGGATAACGGAAAATTGTTGAAGAAACCTAACAAATTGCGGGGAGTGACCTGCGATGGACTAGCATCCCGTCCAGGGATGGAAGGGATGCTAGTCGCCCTCTAGCCGCTTCATGCTACAGAAACCGGAATAAGCTCCGGCAGCTACGAACCAGTCAGCTCCAAGGCTTCATTTCGATTACAGAAAAGACCTCTTTAAATTGATTCGCATTCTATGCGAGCAGACTAACCAATCCGAAGCCCAAGATGGCTTTTCTAGGCGTCTGATTGGTATAATATGGACGCACGACGGAATGCGAATGACTATATGAAGTCGATCCCTACAGTGTCTACACTGAAACAAGTGAGACGAGTGTAACGGAGTTTGACTGTGCTTTATCTATATTTCAAATAAAAATCAAGCCAAATAAAATAAATGTTAGGACTGTAAATACCACAAAGATATGCAGTTTAATAATGTTTTTTTTAAAAGCGTCAATTGCACCATTATTTATTTATTTATTTATTTATTTATTTATTTTTATGGTCATAAGCTGAGCTCAATATCACGAGTTGTTGGGAATAAAGTTCAATTGCCACGGTTCAAAATGAAAATTGAATAAAAGCTCGTTGTCATTAAGAAAAAGCTGGAGTAATAAACCTAATCACATACGACCAGGGTTAAGGTTGGATCCCAGGAAATGGTCGATATGGGGAGGAGAGGTGGAAGGGTGGGACTCCAAACTTACACACAGTAGACCATTCCCCGGTGTACATTCCCACGCGATTGCAAATAAATGTCTACTGTTGCTATTATTTTAGTATATTCTTCTTCGAAATTTGGACGGGAATGGATGAGCGTTGGAATCCCTGAATCCCCTCCCTCATCCTCCGACTAGATTCTTCGTTAAAGGGATAAATTATTTTACTATTTTATGACTATTCGGGCTTTAAACACAGTTACCCCATATGGCTGATGTTCCAGTTAAAGGGACATCAGCCATATCTTATTTTTCGCATTCGTATGTTTTCGCTCATTAACAAGGATATAATGTCCTCTAGCTAAGGTATTTTGTCTCAAACGAATTGAATACAATCAAACTATCGGTCTGTTAGTGGTAAAAACGTTACTGAAATAGTAAATAACGATTAAATGATCAAAAAGAGAAAATCAACGAAACTTATTTAATAAGAACACAACTACCTACTAAATTGAAAATAGCTTTAACACACGCTCTGTTTCAGACTGCAAACAATTTGATAACAAGCGAAAAGCGGCAATATTATAAACCATTCGCGCGCGCTAGACAATTCACGAACATTCTCTAGAACCCAGGAATAGTCGGCCAGGACGAGCTTGTAATCGGCGCGCGTTTTCGTGGAGTCGATCGTAATTTATCTTTCCCATGATAACTCATGGCGTGCTCGAAGCCAAAATCGTCCCGCTGTCTCTACAATTGCCTGTTGCTTTTTGTTTTTAACCGAGAATTCCATCAAGTCTTGCAAATCGCCAATTATCAGCATTGAGAGCGATAAATTGAATGGCGTCCTGTCCTGGAAGCGTAGAAGTAGCTTGTTTCACTTCTCCATTCTTTTTTATGCTAATGAACATGTCGTAATGTTCGTTCATGTAATACTTGAACGACGCAAACGATACAAAGAGATTCTCTTCGTGGTTTTGATAAAATAAACACTCGTCCGTTGCATTTTTCTGTAGAAGAAAAAGAAGCGGTTGTTAAATGCAGAAAATATTCGCGAGACTTTTGTTTTACATCTTTTACTCCCCTAAGCCCCCGAACCAAGTTAGAATTGAAATTGGCCGATTCTTTTTCTCTTTGCTGCTTTGGGAATGTGTTCGCGATAAAGCAGCTCTCGTAAGGTCTCACATGAATGGCTTGAAACCCTTTGAGAGGACAACAGAACAAACAACAGAAACAATGCCCCCTAGCCCCAAAACGGTAACGGCTGCTGCAATGACGACAAATTGAATTACAAGCTTACGAGAGCTGCTACACTATCGAAAGCCAGGCGCGGTGGTGAAATGTTAACATGCAAAAGATCGAGTTATTCTCAGTGACTCATTTGTGTTGATGCTATGGAAACGAATTCAGAATCACTGACGAGGCAAGCGGAACTCAAACCGCTGGACATGACTTACAAGCATCATGCAAACAGCCCCTAATTGTCCCCAATCAGCGAACTTACCAATCTTCCAGCTTAATGTACAAGTCAACAGTTTACTTACTTTTGTCTGAAGCACTCCTTTAGAATCGATCGCTAGAAAATTTCCAGTTTCAATGCTCCGGATACGGACAATGCTTGGACCAAAGGATTGAAGTTCGAACTTGACTGCAAAATACAAGGAGAAAATGATTTGTACACCACTGCTTATTAATCTGTAAGTCCGTGGCTTAGAAGTCACGCAGACAGCGCATTTCTTTTTTACCAGCTGAATATTTTCCTTCTAAGCCTCGAGAAATGTTGAGCCAACAAGCTAGCACATTTTTGTGTGCGTAAACTGATTTACGCAAAGTACAAACGGACACGACGATGATAGTAGCTCGTTTGCAACTGACGTCATCGCCGGCACGTTGGATCGCATGGAGGTAACATTAAAGAAGCATTCTTATCATCTAACATGGCCGCCAGGATGTTTGTCATTTGAATCTCTCTGGAATGGTTACAAATTAAACCACTTATAGGCTCTTGATGGTTTGGTAAAATTTCTCAAGAGCGAATTCAGCAGTAAAACCTCAGATCACCGGAAAAAGGCAAATAATTAATGTAATAAAATTAATGTTATTGATAGTGCTGTGGCTCTCTTGTTGAGGAAATCTCTCTCCCTAAGACATCCGGTTTCATACAGATTTTTTGTTTTGTGTCAGTCCCGGCCGCAGCGGTGCTCCTGGCAGGACAAACGCTAGAAAATTCTAAAGAATTTTGTCCGATGCGGTAAGGCCTTTGAGTTTTAAAGGGCGTCTGAACACAGCACAGACAAAAAAATGCCACTTGAATTGCAAGAATGTAACATCATGTTTACCTGTCCTTCGAATAACAAATACTTCAAGAAGTGAGAATATACATTCGGCAAATTAGAACTTTGACCGCTGTCCAGTTCGTCAATATCCGTGCAATAAATTTTGCTTTTTCGCTTTTTTATTTGTTTATGTACAGTGTTCTCTAACGGCAATTTACCCCTAGCCGACGCAATTAGTCCCAAAATGGGTTGTACTGGGCGCGAAAATGCTCATCAAAATTGGCAGTATGCAAAGTGGAATGTACGAAGCAACTTCTGTTCGAGATAACTTCGATGGAATCGAAAAACAATAGCACGATAGTACTGTCTCCATAGATAATAAAGGGTCTGTAAATCAAATCAGTAATCGATGAATCTCTATGCCTGCTTTTTCTATCCAACGGAGAACTTCGATCTGTGCGGAATGATCTTATCCCCCACTAGTCAGAATTCATGGAACAATTCATAGGAACTATTTATAAGAAGTATAAATCTACTATGAAGCGTTCTATCACAGATGCCGTTCTCTTATTGGCCACGCTTCTTGTTATTTATTCCATTGTAGATAGTGAGTAGCCTAACAGTGCCGGCGCGGTTGTTAACAAAATGACGGCCGCGTCTTTACGTTTTCGAAGTGTCTATGAAGAGGATATAGATAAAGTTTTGAACAACTATCCTGTCGTCAATTAATACCTGAAAACAAATTAGATTATGATGAATGCTTGCCTCCCAAGCAGCAGACATTTAAATACTTATACAACGTTGCCAATAAATCACAAGTAATAATAGATTTGATGCGCCTAAGCCCTTTATATCCGTCGGTGCTATATATAGATATTTATTTATAAGTTAGCATAGTATCACGACGGATATTTTTAATGTTCATAAGTTATGCATTGAACTTGCTCTATGAGTCTGATCTTCTGTGGGTAACGACCAGTTTATTTACGCTTCATGAAAGCCATCTTTCGGAGAGGCAATTCTGCCTCTTCTGGCAGAAGGTCATTTATCGTGGTTTTACTTGACCACTCCGAGCCAAACACTTGAGCATGAGAACGAGCTTCCAATTCATGCAGTGATGTCTGTCAGCCCTCCCCCGGTCCCCACCGGCTTTCCATGAATCTTGCTTGCTTTGTTGTGATTCATTTCGCTTAGTCAGCCGGCCTGATTTTCAATAGCACGTGTACAGTACAAAGACCGGGTCGCTACTGCTGCTGCTGCTGGGAGAGGTAAATTGTTGCAGGTGCTGTCAGCTACTTCGGTGTTCATTTTTTTTTTTTTTTTTCATGTGGTTTACGGGGCACTTTATCTCCGACGGTTTTTGTCATCACAAAATTTCGAAAAGCTGCCATTTTTCTGCGGTTTTGACATCCTATTTAATTCTGCTTTCCTGTCAAATGTCCGTCGCTATTTAAAGAGCTTGTCAGACCAGATAGGAAATTAAATGAAAATTACTTTGCACACGCCGCGGACCTATTCTTTATAGTTAAAAAAGAATTCCCACCGTCCTGAGTTGGACTGAGAAAGAATTACGAAATATTTAGTCGTAAGGCAATTAAATCATGAACTAACACACTCACCAAACATACTCAACTGATTTAACGAGCCTGAAACTGTGCCATTAACGTTGCAGTGAAGGAACAATCCTACACGACCAAACAGCCGAACTCGCTTGCTGTTTGTTGGGAATTTCGTTAACTTTATGGGTCCTCGTTCCTTTACGTGAACTTCAGGTCTTCTATTTCTAGGCGCTTGCTTCCGAGGCTGAATTGTTTGAAACTTGTGAGAGCTGCGATCTGCGCTCGATCTTGTCGTGTTGGAGTTTCTTTCGCTTCTTAATCCACGCGCCAGGACATTACTCGGAAAGAGTGTTACGCACAAGATGGTTACGAACAGCTAGAAATGTAAACAGAACGGTGAGAAAAGTTCACATCACTCAATCTTAAAGCAATAATAAACAAAACGAGGCCATTATCATGTTTAAAGCAATTAGTACTGAAAACGTTACCATTAAAAATAAACTGCTCATATCGGCCGATTTGATCCGATTTACGAATTGCAGCGAGCACGGCAGCAAAAGAAATGAAAAGAACCTAGTGCTAGCCCGCAGCGAGCCTACCCTGAAGGGCAGATACTGTTTCTTATAACCCAGACAAGCCGGGCGACGATCAAGCAGTGATTGCCAGCAAACTGACACCAGGAACGTTTCTCTTCAGATTTCGTACTTCGTTTTTTTAGACTGAGTTTTTTTAGCCAGTATAGGAATTTTAATACGCCTAATCGGACTATCTTCTTTTCTTCACCTCATCTTGGTCTTGTTTTAAAAACATCATGGTATGCAGCTTGCCACCCACTCGGATTGAGAGGGGAGTGGGCGCGTATATCAAACGATACCGCTGCCTTTCGCATCGCTCAAACAGCTTTTCATTCTAGAGGAAATGCTAAGAAGTTTTACCTTCAATATAATTTTTATTATCTATCCAAATGCACGAGCTCTTAGAAAAAATATGGGGCCACTTCATTTTCTAACAGCATTATAACAATTATTTTCAAGCACTTCCGTTTTGTTAAGTGCTGTATGATGCTGCATTTCCGTCATTCAATTTCCATCACCGTTTATAGAGCTTATGTCATGCACATCCCACCAGGGTCCCAGATTTAAAAATGCGGGGAAAAAAATGCCCATTCCTTGATCTGGTTCCAGGATTAATTTATGGTACTTTTGAAAAAACAGCGAAAGCTTAAAAGAATGACACTGATTATATTTCAGCGACAGATTCTGGGGTTAGACAGTATCCGCAATGGAAGACAAAAATTCCGATCACATGAAAGAATAATGATTACTTATCAAAGTATTTTGTCTTTCTAGAACTACAGTTCATTCGTTTGTTTACCTATGTTAGATTTCTTGTTAATGTCTTCAGGTCCATCGGTGGAATCGCAACAAATTAAGGGAACAAAACAGCGGAAAAATAAACTTAACTTGAGCTAGTAACGTCGGCCTTTCCGGAATCGCAATAAAATTTTGATCCCTGTATATATAAAAATTTCGGCCAAATTTCATTCAAAACGACTTCTACGTAACCAGAAAGTTCATCTCGATCAGCCGATAAAATAATTCAGTCCTCAACGTTATATGAATATTTACATTTCAGTTTCTCAGTATATGATCGGTCACACATTGTTTTTGAGTAGTTGACCTGATTAATTAATCTCTTTTTAATACCTGTCCAGTCTCATACGCCGACAGATTGTCATTATTTCGGTCAATTTCTCAATCGTTTTGCACTTGTACTCACAATTGTCGCATGGAACATGCCAAGGCCGGCGAACTGTTTCGTCTAAACATATATGCGTAATAACTAAACTTGGATCTTCAGAGATAGGAAAAAAAACCTTCACTTTATTATTTCAAGTGAGCAAATTCCTGCTGTTACACGAAAAAACATTTATAATGTTTGTCAGTATGATTTGTTTTCCCACAGTCACAAGGGTTGTAGACATATTTCTCTTCTGCGTTTTCTTTCTTCTTTTTAAAGCGTTGGACACTATGTGACTTGCAACAATTGCGCGTAAAAAGAGAAATCAAATCATAATAGCTGGTTACTTTGGCAGATTAACAGAAATCGCTTTACAACAACAACTAGCTTTACTTGCATGACCATAAATACATACAGTGTTGCAAAAGTTTTTGTAAACTAAAACTACAGTACACCTTAACAGATACCTAATGCCAATCACACCAGAGTTATGCCGACAAACGTGGATTATTAAAGGCCCTACTTTTGATAAAACAGCGGACCACACAACGCGGAATGACTCGCTTGTTGTCGCATCGCTTGATTTAGCATTGCACGAGCAAAAATCCCAGGTTCAAATGAAAGCTACTGAACAGTTCTTTCACGTGGTACTTTAGTATGCTGTTCATGGTGACCAGCTCTAACTTATAGTTTGTGAATAAAACCCTAATCTGTGACTGACGGCCATTCTGAATGAATGCTATCAAGCAGTGCTTTCATGTTATTGCTAGAAAACTCTTGATACTTTGAGACTCTTAGAGGTATTAAGGATCTAAGTCCAACAAACGATAAAGCTAAGCCGGTTTAACAAGTTTACATCAGGACTTATCAGCATAACTGACAGTGTGTGCTACAGGTATCTCGCCACTTGTATTTCTGTGGCCACATGATGCTGAATCAAGGACATGCAGATCAAGTAGTTAACATAAAATTTGGTAGCGTATAGGGCCATCAATAAATTTGTGATGCAACTTGGAGCAACTAGAACTGATTAGTAATAATTATGCTGACCAAGGTGTTTCAATAACTTTTAAGTCATCAGGGGTCCGTAAATGTGGATAATAGCTTAGCGTGTGAAAACTAATTTCAATGAAAGATATTAAAATACCGCTTTTTTCAGTGGTACTGTCTATGAAAGTTCCTTGACATCTAGAGTCTAAAATGTTCTTGAGTTTCTCTTCAAAATTGCACATAAAGATATTGGCCAAGAAAGAAAGCATGTTCATTTTACCTTCCTGTGTAGTAGGTGAATAATTTTGCACGCGGAGGTTTTAGAAGTTTTGCAGTTTGTTATTGTTAAGAGAAACCGTCTCATCAGTTGACCCCCGCCCACACTACGCCGGAGAAATTCGCAAATGCAGCTTTATTTCTACGGTTAGGCCTGTACAGGCCCGTAGATGATCCCTAAATTGGACCGCAAATTAGCCCAGGGGCCTGTTTCTCGAAAGCCCCGGAAACTTTTCGGGCCCGAAAAGCCATTTTTAGTTAATTGGTATTTAAAGACAGAGAGGTGCGTACGCCTGAAACTTCTTGTACGGAATGGAACCTCTGTTTATATTAAGAATATATGAATGAAACAGCTCTGCAACCATAAGTTTTGAGATTTTGCAACGGCTTACCGGGTGCGAAAACTTTTCGGGACCTTCAAGAAACGGGCCCCAGGACCGAAACTGATTCCACCTCAAAAAGTTAGGATTGGCGTGGACTCCATGAAAAGTCTATGGATGGATACATATATATTTTCTTCGGTGAAGGAAAGACAAGCATCTCAGGCATAAGAGCAGCAATAAAAAACGTGAAACGTACCGCGAAAAATACAAAATTGACTTTGTGTCGACTGTACAAATTTTTCGTTTAGGGGACGCACTGCAAAAAGAAACATGAATCTTCCAAGATGCCTCTGCCATCTAATTATAACCGCATAGAACTTTGCCCTGTACACTTCTCATACTTGCATCCTAGATAGCCACGGGCTCCCACGAAAGTGTACAAGATTAACTGAGTGCGAGTTACCGTAGTGTTCTTCAGATATATTTATTCGCATGCCCTACGAGTAGAGCGGTCGCTTCTGCTCGTGCATTTTTTTTTTTTTTACTGTCGGCAATCGTCTCCTCTGTGCCGAAAGCTACGCGAAAATGAGGTCAATCCACTTGCGTGAATTCTCAGTTCTCTGCAAATTTAAGGACAGAGTACCATATATCTCAGGCACGGACCCAATAAAGTCATTCAGGGAATGACCTAGCTAAACTGCAAATTTCAAACACAGGATTTCAATCTCATTTTTTAAGTTGTGAAATTTGTACACAAATCGTCCATACTGCACATTTTGATTGCGTTACCTACAGTAAATGCTGTATAAAATATTGTATTATTACTGTGAAACTCAGAAAACTGTGAATAACAGAAATACTTAAGGAATATTATTGCGTAGCAAAGAAAAAGCCAATTAAGTGTGAGAAAACTAAACCGCAAACACCAGCGATAAATGGTTGTGGTTTTTCTCGCGTGTCCTGAACTTTATCGTGATTGTTTCAGTACGCAATTAACTTTTAGAATCAAATCCAAATGTTCACGGTTTTCTGAGTTTCACAGTAATAAAAAACCGTTTGCATAAATTTTAAATCCACTGTCCAAATTCCTGAGTCCTCACTCTTCAATCTTTTATGGCAAGGCGACCATTTCCGGTCTGGAATCGTTTACGGTGCAATTTGGTGATCACTTGCGATGCGCGGATCATTTGCCGGCCTGTACAGGCCTACCGTCCACTCTAATCCGTCACGAAAACGGAGCTTACAAACTGGAGGAATTTGAAAACGCCGGCTTTTCAAGGGACCCAACAAATATTAAGCTTTGTTTTTATTTAGTCTTCAGATCTGCTACAAATTGATAACTGTTTTGAAAGCAGCTACAAATGTAAACAAAATTGGTCATTGTTGAAATAAATTTCATATATTTTTTCTTTTTTGCGGTTACGAAACTTTCGTCCCCGTCTGGCTTGAAGAAAACCGATCAGGTAAAGAAGCCGGATTGAACAATGATTCAGGGTAATGTGTGTCTCTCAAATCATAGAGTTAATTTTACACTGAGGAAAACAGAATTACTAATCCCCACACGCACACATCGTGCCTGTTTACGCTAAAAAAAAAAATCCGCACGCATTCTAAATAAGTGTAACGACACTTTCCTTCACAAAAATTGGCTGCATTACTGTCTGTTATCTTAGAATACCATACCGAAAATTGTTGTCAACAGTTTGTTCAAGCCGACGCTTCTCAAGTCGTCTCCTCTTGATTCTGCACCAAATTGACTGATCTAATACGAAAAAATTCTCAGGTTTTCATCGTAAGTTAGAAATTAGAACTTGGGAAACAATACTTTCTGAGCTGAAAACTGTCCTGCACATAATCTTCGCCTTAACAGTACAAGCAAAGATTTTTATGGCTAATATGACCACGACCAAACAAGTTCGTCGATGACAATTAAAATAACAAATTATTTTCTGATTACCGACTAGTTTCGCGCGTGTGTGGCGGATTAAAGAGCCTCCTTCATTAGAAACAAATCAACATTGGGTAAATTCCTTTCGAAAATGATGTTTGCTTGAAAACCAAAGGGTGCATAAGTGTTGCGTTAAAAGATTGCGACAACAACACTCTAGCTCGGTGGTCCTTCGTTCATCCGTGGTTTACATGCTTGACAAGCTGCGGAGTCCTCGGATTTAAAGTGATGGGGAGATGCGAAAGTTTGTTTGTTTTTGTTTTTTGTTTTTGTTTTTTTTTTTGGTATTTTTTAGTATTTTTTTTTT